CAGCAACAGATGCTCCAGGACAGAGATAAAGCCAGTCTCATAACATCAAGCAATCCAGGGATGCATTTCTTCCTGAGCCCCTCTTTGCCCTTGCTGAATGAGGAATCATAAGCCTTGGTATTTTATATGCATTAGGGCATTTGTTGATATTATTCCTGATCAGACCTGAGGATTGCGAGGGGGTGGAAAAACAGGCAGGATAGTTCTAGCCTGACCCAGCATTCCCTAAGCTGAAGCAAATCCTCACAAACTGGCCTTGGCACAGGAATAGTAGTGACAAGCCCTTTCCCATCCATGTACACACACAAACACACACACATTCTGAAGGACAGACTGTACCCACCTTCTCCTTGTTGAGAGCTTCCTGAGCTTCTAATTTATACACTAAAAAATCTAGAAGTGGAAGAGGAGACAATTTAATGAGCTGGGATTTACAAGGATCTGGTTTATATTTTCAGAAGGAACAGAAACAGCCCCTTGCTAAGGGAAAGGCTGCAGCTCAGCAAGCCGGCGTGCAGATACTTCCAGGAGACTCCTACTCAGCGCCCTCAAAAAATACAGTCGTACTTTCCATGAAACAAGTCCACCCACTTTGCCTGGCCCAGATGTCCTCCTTTTCCTGCTCTATAGGCAAGTGACTTCCCACTTCAGCCCAGCTACAGCTGCATTTTGATAGCACTGATGCAACAAAGATTATTTATTTCCAAGAAGAAAACCCAGGCTGGAGCCAGATAGCGCTAATCATCTTTAAAGTGCTCAGATGCTACATCACAGGTGATGTTCTTCAGATTAAGCTGAGGACTCGTGGCATCAGGCCCCAGTCCATGACCTCCCAGCACCTTCTGCCCATGGGAAAGGGACAAGTTACCAGCCCTCTTGCAAAGCAGGGATGGGGCTCACCTGGACAGGATCTGGCAAGGTCCCCACAGTGCTCTGGGTACCCACAGATCCTCCCCAGGACAGTGGGGGCTTTTAGGCACCCCAAGAGACTCACCTTCCTTCGTCTTCTTGTGCTCCCCTCTCTCCTTCTGCAGGGATCGCTCCAGCCTGGATCTGTGCTCATACACAACTAGGAGAACAGGGAGAGGTAAAGCATGAAACAAACCCCAGGATTTCCTCCCACACAAGTTTTTCCTCAGGTCATGCATACAGGGACACACGTGCACCTCAATTCCTGCTACAGGCTGCGAATACGGCCCACAGCAACGTGTGCAGGACATCCCTGCTCCTCTCTGCCCATTGCTAGGCCTCTTCCATGCCAAACCCAGAGAGTTTCACCTTTGCCAAAAGAGCTGGACAAATGTGTTCTCAAAATAAAGCAGGTATCCATGGCAACACTGTCTTTGGGAACAGGAAGGCTGGCAGCAAGTTAGCAACCCCGCAGACTACAGCTCTGCCATGCAAACAGGCTTTTTTGGGTAGAAAAATGCTATAAGCAGATGCAGCTGATTGCTTGAACCTGCTGATTCCACAGCCAAGGATCTCCCAGGTCCTTCCCAGGAAGGGCCATCCCTCATCCCCATATATACACACGTTATGTTTACTTTGCAGCCTTTCAGCTGCTCCTAGGGCGCTGGTGCTGCTGCCACGAGCACTGGCTGCCCTGCAGAGTGCAGCTCTCCGAAGCAGGCCCAGAAAAGCCCATTCCACCTCCTTCCCACCATATCTCCTCTAGCAGCGACCAACAACAGCCTCAAAGAGGCCAGCAGGACTTTTCTAGAGCCACGTGAGTCCCTCAGAGGGGCAGTGGATCTCATCTCTTGCAATGAAAGTACGTGGCTTGATGACAAATGTTCTAATTCTAACCAGTGAAGGGGAGAAAGAGATGGGAGACAAGGTCTCCTTGGAGCTCCTTAGAGGCTGGAGGCAAAGTGGTGCCAGGGCTGGGCAGGGAGGAGAGGGAAGCTCGGAGGGAAGAGCGCGTGCGTACGTGGAGTCACTCACCTTGGAGCTGGGCAGATAGCGCTTCCTGCTGCTGTTTGTACTTCTGGGCCAGGGCTTCGGCGTTCCGCACCTTCTGCTCCAAGTGGCCGTACAGGAAAACCCCGGAGCCCAAACATGCCAGAGCCACCAGGCAAAAGGCGGTCTGCAGGAGCCCCTTCTGCCTCCGGGAGCACACGCCGGTGCCCATGGTGGCCTGGGGCCGCTGCAGACCCGCGCCAGCGCCCC